GGCAACAAGAAAACATCCGATCCCTCCTGAACAGCAGACGACAGACTGTTCTTCCTAACACAAATGGGCTTCGACCCCATCTTCTCATAGACTGGGGGGAAAGGCGGTGGTGATGACTCTTCCGCTTCCATATGTGTCCCATTCGGAGCAGATATCGGATGTTGGAGGGTCAAGGCATAGTCTGCTTCCCTCAACTCATCAGCCAGGGATTTATTTTTGGTAGGCGCACTCAGGTCCATGGAAACTACCCAGTGTGACCTCATATCAAGGTCCATTTCAAAGTTAGTCCCGTTCTGGCATTTTGTTGAGGGTCCCCCCACAGATACATCCAACACATTGCTTCCATCTCAAGGGGGTATAGGAGGACTAACTACCGTCTTCCCCCATCAGAGACTGTGTCTCTTGACGCAGAGGCTGATCCTTCAATCTGTTATATATATTGCTGTTACTTATCAACTTGACATCTGCACTTGACATGGACCCACGAACATTGGGCTCCACCTGTGCCGGTAGCTCTGTAGCACTATTCCGTTGTTGCATCACACATTGGGGAGTAGGACCCATACCCCCTTTGGAGTAATTCACTTTTAAGGTCTTGGGGCACAAAGGGGCTCGCACCAAATCTTTAAAAACCCTGGTCACATGGATTCCATATTTAATAAAAACCAGTTTCCCCCTAGACATCATTTTCATGGGAATCATATCGTCTTTAAAATGCAAAGCGACTCTAGCATATCTTCCAATACTAGGCAGCCTATCATAGGAACACAGTGGAATATCAGGTTTAGTACAGTTAAGCAATTGGCACAGAGATCTAACAATAGTTGTATAGTTTCTCCAATTAAAGGAGTCAGTCTGTGCAATATATGAGATAGCCACCGAATTTCTCTGAAGAATGAGGGAACTAATCATCGGCCTCTTCCTTCTGGTATCACTCTGTAATATTAAATTGCCTGCAACTGATTTCCTAACAGTCGTCGTCTCAGTCCGTGATTTAACTCCAGCTCTGCCTAAGTTATATGCAGTAGCCAAGTTATTGATAGCTTCCTTCACAGCAGATACCTTGTTGTCAATGTCCTTAATCCTATCTAACAACAAGGCCAAGGTCTGGGAGGTTAGCATTGCCCCTTTAGAAAATGACTCCATCATACCCGACAGCTCCTGGGCGCATCGTGAACTTAGACCAGGGCATGACTCCGTGTTTATTTTACCTTGACGAGAGACTCTCTCTTCGTCACTCAGGAGCACCATACAGTCCGACTCCAAAGCAGCATATCTGTTGGTAAGACTGATGATTTCTGGCTGAGAGTTAGAGATAGATTGATCTATCTTCTGTTGTTTTCCCTCTTCTAAGTTGGCTGCCTCAGAGGCAGAGTGTCGATGCTTCCTATTAGACATAAAGTCTAAATATTCCTTCCCTTTGTTATCAGTAGCCGACACTCCTTGCCACTGTAGCAATGCAGATAACAGCCACCCCACAAGGTTGGGCCAAAATACTTGGAAGGAGAAAGGCTCGTGGGGGAGTATTCCTCGATTCAGCGTCATTTACAGGAAGGGAAACGCCCCCGTCGCTGCTCGGAAAAGGGGAGAAAGCGAAACTAACTTTCCTGCTCTCCCTCCCCTTCGTCGAGGCAGCCATGGCGGCAGGGGGTCCCGCGCAAGAGCTCTGCGAGGAGGCCTCTTGCTCCATCTGCCTGGACTATTTCCGGGACCCGGTGAGCATCGCCGAGTGCGGCCACAGCTTCTGCCGGGCCTGCCTGACCCGCAGCTGGGGGGAGTCGTGGAACGACAAGCCTGCCTGCCCCCAGTGCAGGAGAAGGACGCGGGAGGGGAGCCTCCGCCCGAACTGGCAGCTGGCCAACCTCGTGGAAGTCGCCAAGAAACTCAGTCTGCAGGAGGGGAAAGAGGTAGGTAGGTGAGGTGTGTGTGTGTGTGGGGAGTCTGCGAGAAGTGCCGGGAGCTCCGGAGGTCTTCCTGCCAGGACGAGTAAGCCCCCCTCTGCCTGGTCTGCGGCAGCTGTGAGGAGCGCAAAGAGGGGGTTCCTCTGGAGGAGGCTGCCCGAGGAAGTCGGGAAAGACATCTGGGGATCTGGATGCGGCACGGCTGGAGGTTCTTCTTGGCTCCTCTGTAGATTCAGTCCTGTGAAAACAATCTTCGTTTAAATGCAAATAGTGATGGGCATTATTAAATCGGTGAAATGTAGGCACCTGAGGGCGAAGTGGGACTCGGCCAGCCTTGGCTTGATAATATGTGGAAATGCTCCTTCCCCTGGCCCCTCCCCCCACACATCTGGTTCTCCAGAGTCTGGAAAGTGGAGAGGGGGCTGGGCGGATCCTGGCCGAGTCTGATCCAGCAGTGCTCTCAGTGTGCCTCATTTCAGCGGAAGTGGAGACTGCCCTGCGTCTTCTCCTGTGCCACTCAAATGTCACTTTGGGACAAAGCTCAGGGCCACATTATGACTTTAGTGGGCCCTGGGCACTTTTGACTTTAAATACTTAAATTTTTTAAAGGCAAAATTTAAATTTTTTTCATGGGCCCTAAACATTTCATTTTTTTCTTTTTTCTTTTTTTTTAACTGCCCCCCAAAGGGGCAGGATTTTATTACATTTTCCACATAATGTACAGAAACATAACATATACATACATATACATACATACTAACATACAAATACATGGAGGTTATTCTTAATTCTACCAATATTTATACTAATACCTATTCCACCTTAATAACAATTTCTCATGAACTGTGTAAGCAACTTTTCTGGCTCTATCATCCTAACAGGTACATATTTCATTTACGGAAATATTTCAGGTATATATTTCATTTACATTTCATTTCTTTCTGATGTGAGCATTTTCTTCAGCCCTAAAAATTCATTTTTCTTCTTCTGATTTTAAAAGAAACGAAAACATTTCTGTGGGCCCTAGGAGCTGTGCCTGATGGATAAGTCAGCCCTGGCAAAGCTCTCAAGGTCATTGCTGCTGCTGGCTGATTACAATATGATATCAAATATAATACATATAATATTATTGCACTCCCCCATCAGCCATAAAGTGGCTCACAAAGCAGCAGCTAGTAATAAACACCTGAGGAGTGGGTCCTCTTTCTGATGGGGGGGGGGCTGGCTGCCACCTCTTCTCTTCCTCTGGCAGCCCTCTCGGTATTGGTGCCTCACCCAGCCTTCCACTGACAGGCCACCATCAGAGGGCCTTGTGCCCTGTGATCCCATTTCTGCCCACTTGGGGGTGTGTGCGGCCTGTTATTTCTATTGGCCATCAGTCCCCTTGGCCCTCCCCTCCTGAGACTGAGCTGTGGGGCCAGTCCCAGAGATTTCGCTGCCCAAGGAGGACCGTGCCCAGCCCCCCAAATGCGGGCCTCTGGTGCAGTGGGGCTTCCAGGACTGCGAATCTGTCACTGGTGTTATCCGACCTGCTCTCTAAGAAAGTTCGGGCGCCCAAGTCTGAGTTATCTACCACAGTGGGCGGGGCGTGAGTTCTGGCCCAATGTATACAGAGGTTGGATTGGCCAATGAAACGCTCGCTGTTTCAGGAAGTCAGACAACACACTAGACTTATGAATAAATGTTGCCTTTTACTAAAGCAGTTTCTTCAGACATACAACAACAGAAGCATACAGATTCTCACAAGATCCTTAGTTACAATAGTTCATGGAAAGCAATCAGTCTGGAAAATAACAAAAGCATCTAATAAGGGGAATCACACAGTAGGATATCGATCATACTTATCTGTGGTTCCTGCTGAGAGAAGAAATCTCGTAGTAGAAAATGGGCAGCTTAAGGGTCAGTAAGCTAACTCTATAAGCACACGAGCTGTACCAGCCAAGCAAACGTGTGGGTTCTCTGGTCCGGATTCCAGAGAACACAGTTAGATTCACCTGCAGTACTTAAGTTGCGGGGGGGGGGGAACGCAGTGCAAGAGCGCAATGCAAAAGAGTTGCAAGAGAGCAAGGTAAGAGAGCGTTGCAAGAGAGGTGTGCAAGAGAGAGAAACAAAGGCTGCGTTTCTCTTTTTAAGACCTTTGTTTCGGGGCAGGCTTCACCTATCGTAAAACCTGGGGTTCGTCATAAGAACATAAGAACATAAGAGATGCCAATGTTGGATCAGGCCAAAGGCCCATCCAGTCCAACACTCTGTATCCCACAGTGGCCAGAAATACCAGTGCCATCAGGAGGTCCACCAGTGGGGCCAGGACATTAGAAGCCCTCCCACTGTTGACCCCCCCCAAGCACCAAGATGACAGAGCATCACTTGCCCCAGAGTCCCTATCTATACCTTGTGGCTAATAGCCACTGATGGACCTCTGCTCCATATGCTTATCTAATTCCCTCTTGAAGCCGTCCATGCTTGTAGCCGCCACCACTTCCTGTGGCAGTGAATTCCAAGTGTTAATCACTCTTTGGGTGAAGAAGTACTTCCTTTTATCCGTTCTAACCCGACCGCTCAGCAATTTCATGGAGTGCCCACGGGTTCTTGTATTGTGAGAAAGGGAGAAAAGTACCTCTTTCTCTACCTGCTCTTTCCCATGCATAATCTTATAAACCTCAATCATGTCACCCCTCAGTCGTCGTTTCTCCAAGCTAAAGAGCCCTAAGCGCCTTAACCGTTCCTCATAGGGAAAGTGTTCCAACCCTTTTATCATTCGAGTTGCTCTTTTCTGCACTTTTTCCAAAGCTATAATATCCTTTTTAAGGTGTGGTGACCAGAACTGCACACAGTATTCCAAATGAGGTCTCACCATTGATTTATATAGGGGCATTATTATATTGGCTGATCTGTTTTCAATACCCTTCCTAATAATCCCCAGCATAGCATTGGCCTTCTTTATTGCAGTCACACACTGTCTCGACATTTTCAGTGAGTTATCTACTACAACTCCAAGATCTCTCTCTTGATCAGTCTCTGCCAGTTCAGACCCCATCAACGTGTATTTATAGTTAGGATTTTTGGCTCCAATGTGCATCACCTTGCACTTGGCCACATTGAACCCCATTTGCCATGTTGACGCCCACAAAAAGTGCTTCTGAGCATCCCCCCCCCATCCAAATGGCCAAAAGTCAGAGCAAGATGGCGACTGGAGATCTGTTGGCAGAAAGGCTTCCCGGAGGGCAAAGGGCTCTGCAGGAGTTAATGATTCCTTAGAGGGAGTGGTTGAGGGATTGCTTGTGAGAGTTCAGAAAAAGGAGTTAGGCGGTTCCCAGGTGAAAGCCATCGGAACCCACAGGTGCTCCACCTACTAATGCCTTTATGGACCCAGGAGGTGAAGGAATTTCCTTTTTTAATTTATTTTGCATTTTAAAATACAGAAGAATTAAGTTACAAGGAAGGCAACCCCCCCCCCAATCAAACTCAAGCTAACTCACTTCAGAATGTATAAGAGGTTGTTATGCCAGTATGAGAATCCAGAATCGTCATTCGGTTGTAAGGTTAAAGGCGTTGTCTGGAGCTCCACCTAGGAGGAGATGCTGTCTGTGAGAGGGGGGACGGTCTGGCTTGGAGTTAAATCTGAAAGGTGGCTTAAAAATCTGTCAGGGCCCATCCATATTCATGCAGTTCCAGCTTCACCACCTTACAGATTTGGATCTACTTTTGGAGATTTGTCATAGTAGAGAGAAGGGGAAGAGAAGAGATTGGATTTATACCCTGCCCTTCACAACCCGAAGGAGTCTCAGAGCGGCTTACAATCCCTTTCCCTTCCCCTCCCCACAGCAGACACCCTGTGAGGTGGGTGGGGCTGAGAGAGCTCTGAGAGAACTGCTCTTGAGAGAACTTGTGACTGACCAAGGGTCACACCAGCAGGTGCAAGTGGAGAAGTGGGGAAGGAGGAGTGAAGAATCAAAGCCGGTTCTCCCAGATTAGCATCCATGCTCTTAACCACTACACCAAACTAGCTCTCTGCACCAAACTGGCTCTTGTTAAGTAGCATTGTTAAATCAGATTAAAAACGTTAATTATTGATAAATATACAAGAATGTGCATGTATTTATTACAAAGTAGGTTAAAAGGCAGATACTGGGCCTGGTGATTGCCTCAGTAAAGAATCAAATTGTGGCTCTTCCGGTTATGGCTGTGCGCCTGGCGACCGACTCTCGGGTGAGCTCCCGGAGTCGGATCACCCACACGCCGTCTGGAGGGGTCCCGCTCAGGCGGAGATCCTAAGGAGCCTTTGTTATAAGGCTCCGAACCAGGGGGTGCTTTTGAGAGACTGGGGGATGCCTCTTGCCGGCACACAAGCCGGGAATTGAGGCTCCCCCGCCAAAGTCTCTCCCTGCCCCAAACGGCTCCAGCTGCGTTGTGCCCTGTAATGGGGAATAGCAAAGCCGCCGAGAAAGCGGAGTGGTGGAGCGTGTGAATAGAGTCGGAAGAAAGAAGCAAGCGATAAACTGTAAGCCGGCGTTCGAATTTTAAGCGGTGGCATTTGAAAAAGAAAGCCTTACCCCCTCCCAAAAAAGCGAAAGGGAGGAGGGATCACCTCCTCCGTACTAAAAAGAGACTTTAAAATAAAGCGGGGGGGGGGAGCGAAAAAAAGCATGAGCGGTTTACCTTGCTGGGAGGGAGAAATAAACGGAAAGGAGGGAAGCTTCCTTGAGTGCTACGGCACGAAACTTTGAAGTGTAAACAAAACTGAATCATGGCGGGGACTAAAAAAGTACAAGAAAAGCTGCTGAAGAAGATGGGAGGGACTTCCGCCCAAAGCTCTTCCCCTGCAGGATCTGCTGTCAATCAGGAAGAAGGTGCTCTTGCGCGCCATCTGCTGGAAGAACTGCAAAAGATTAACCAAAAACTTGATTCTATGGAATGTGCTTATACCTTACAGCAGAAAAAAATGACAGAAACAGCCGAAAAGGTAGATGACATCGCAAAAAAATGTCTGGCATCAGCCGAAGAAGTACAAAAAGTTAAGAAAAAGGTCATTAAAGTTGAGAACTATCAAGAAAAACAAGACAAGAAATTATTAATGCTTCAAATGGAAAAAGCAAACTTAACCCTTCGGTTCCAGGGATTGAAGGAAGAAACAGGAGAAGATCTAAGAGACATACTGGCTCCACTAACTGGCAACGAAGCGGAAAAATTAAAAGAAGAAATGGATGTGACCTATAGGGCCTATTCCAATTAAACAAGAAAAAACAAATTGCCAGCAGAAGTGGTTGTAAAATTTACAAAGCAACGTCTCAGAGATCAGATATTAAAGGTGACATCAGCTACACCCCTGAAAATTGGAGATCAGTCGATAAGAACTTTAAAAGATGTTACATTTGAAATAAGAATGAAAAGAAAAGAATATAAAGGATTGACCAGATTTCTACAAAATCATCAAACAAATTACAAATGGCTGCTGCCCGAAGGACTGACTTTCAAGTATAAAGAAAAGAGAGAAAGGATTGACTCTATCTTTAAGGCTCAAGAATTTTTGGAAAGGCACGCCAGTAAAGAAGAAGAGGCAGAACTGGCCAAGTGGATGACGGAACTGAATGTAGAAGACAGCAGCTCGGAGGGAGAGCTAAAGGACGAGGAACCCAAAGGAGCGACTGCCCTGAAGTATAAATTGAGAGACAAGAAAAGCAAAGACCCCAGACACTACTAACACACTAATTGCCTGGTTAACAGAGATGGAGAAGAAATGAACACCGGTCTACAGAAGCAATGATTGACTCTAATTCTTAACATGAAAAGATTAATATACTAATATTTTAACACCACTCACCCATTTCTTTATCCATCTATATACCCTCCCTCTTTCTTGACCCTAAGCGAAATATCTCTCCTTTTTAGGAGAGGGAATAAAGCTATTATAAAAAAAAAAAGAATCAAATTGTGCAGTGACAACAAAAACACACGTCATTATTGACCCTGACCACACGTGTTCTGGCCCATTTGTCTTCCTCAGTGGTCAGACTAATGATATTACAGAATGGCTCCTAAGATTACAATGCAACAGTTATTTCTAATAAACTGACCAAGATGAAATTTTGTACTGGTTATTGTCTGTGACCAAAGGCAAAGATATTAATCAGAGGCCTCATTCTTTTTTCTTTTTTCTTTGTATTTGTGTGTCTGTGTTCACATGGAAGTCATGGCGGCCTCTGGTGACTGACCCCTCCTGGGGGCCTGGAGGATATTCAGAGAGGTGGCTGAATAAAGCCTGCCCCTGCCTCCCGACTGCTGGTATTCCAAGGAGGCCTCCTATCCAAGTACTTGCCAGAGTCAGCCCTGCTTAGCTTCCGAGATCGGGCTCGCCTGCTCTGTCCAGGTCAGGGCCAGAAGCCTCATTCCCGAGTTTGCTGCCACGGTCAGGTACACTTTCCTGTAGTAATGGTTCAATTGTGTACCTTTCTTGCGTGGTCAGAAAGATTCGATGCAGCCAGGAGGCAATAGTGATGTCAGGAGCCATTCTGTAATGTCATCGGTCTGACCACTGAGGAAGACCAACGGGCCGAAAGGCGTATGGTCAGGGTCAATGTTGATGGTCAATTTTTGTTTATTTATCAATATTTAATGTTTTTAATGTGACTAGCAATTATTGGGCCTATACATTTATATCTTCTTAACCTTTAGGTTTATTTATTTAATTTATTTATTTTATTTCATTTATACGCCGCCCTCCCCGCACGCGGGCTCAGGGTGGCTTACATAGGCACAAAGTACGATACAATAAACAGTTAAAACAAGTTAAAGACCGCAAAAGGTCCCGCAGGGCCCTGATCTCCTCCAGGAGCTCATTCCACCAGGTAGGAGCCGCCACCGAGAAGGACCTGGCCCTCGTGGTAGCAAGCCTGGCCTCTTTCGGGCCCGGGGTCACCAGACGGTGTTGTGACCCCAACTTTAGTGCTCTTTGGGGCCTGTATGGGGAAAGGCAGTCCCTCAGGTATGCCGGACCCTGGCCATATAGGGCTTTAAGGGTAAGCACCAGCACTTTGAAACGGATCCGGTACGCTATTAATTCAGTTCAGTTTGGGTTACGTTCCCCTCCCCCTTTTTTCAATTTCAGTTGTCATCATAGCCCCTCAAGTATGCCCACTTCAAGAAAGGAACTGGGTGGGGTGTTTGGGGGCTCCGCTGGCACACTGCAAATGGCGGCTCAAGGCAGGTGTCAGGAGGAGGTGGTTTACATGGAAGCAGGAGCTGTGAGTCCTTCATTGACTTTCAAAGGAATCTGAGGCTTAATGAAAACCTCCGCAACCTCAATTTCTCCCACCAACCTCAGATGGGGGAAGACATTATGGGACCTGGGTTTGTTTATGGAGAGGGAGGGTGATGTAAAAGAAAGGAAAGGTACCTCCAGCCCACTGGCCTCCACTTCCTAACAGTGCAATTGGCCATTTGGAAAAAAGGAAAGGGAAAAAAACCTCCCAGACTCTCCAATCCCTGATCTTTCTCCATTTAGAAGTAGAACCTAAAATGCGAGGAGGGCTGTTGGTCACTCTGTTCAGTGCTCTTGGACGCTGGTGGCTTCTCAGAACTATCGCATTACCCCTCCCATCACACAGATAAAATACCTCCCCTCCCAAACGCATAGAGTTACACTTGATAGCGCCCAGCTTTTATACACAAACACATATAAAAATAGTGTTAGTGTGTTATTTTTAAACTGAACAAGGCACTAAATATATATCCAGTCATTACAAGGGGAGGTAGACTTCTGAGGGGAAAAATGAATCCTGTTTCTTTGTTTTGGGCATCAGGCGGGTGTGGAAGCCGGAAAAGGGGGAGTTTGCCAGAAGCACCAGGAGCCCCTGAAGCTCTTCTGCAAGGACGACGAAGCCCTCATCTGTTTGGTCTGTGACCGATCCAAGGAGCACAGAGATCATGAAACCCTTCCACTTGAGGAGGCCTCCCAAGAGTACAAGGTAGGAAATCTACGCAATAGAGGTTGATGGGGAAGAGAAGAAGAGATTGGATTTATACCCACCCTTCACTACTTGAAGGAGTCTCAAAGCGACTTAATTCCTTTCCCTTCCCCTCCCCACAAGAGATACCTTGTGAGGCAGATGGGGCTGGGAGAACTCTTTTGAGAACTGTCCTTGAAAGAACAGCTCTGATAGAACTTGTGACTGACCCAAGCTCACCCAGCAGCTGCATGTGGAGGACCGGGGAATCAAACCTGGTGCTCCCAGATTAGAGTCCTCACTCCTAACCACTGCACCAAAGAGCCATAGATCTGTGCCTTTGTCTCTTTGCAGGGAAACGCTCTAGTTTCCTCCCCAGCCTCTGGGCTGAAACTGGGGAGTGAAAACACCTCTTTGCTGCCTCCTTCATGGGCGTCATGGCCCCCTTTTAATTGCCTCCAGTCCCCCTGCTGAGGCCAATGTGGGGTTATATGGGGAAACGAACTCACTTCCTGTCTAGGCTTTTGTGTGCAAGCACTCTTCTGTATCTGTATCTGATCTTCTGTGTCTACCAGTCTTAACCCCGCACCCCCTGCTTTCCTGATTTCAGTTGCTGTCCTTGAGTTTGGCACAGCATTGTGGTCTTTCCACTCTGCTTCCCAGTTTTCCCTGGATCTGCTGTCGTTTTTTCTCCCCTCAGACCTGCTTTGGATCATTCTTTCAGGGTCATATCAAAAGAGGTTTTATGGGAAAGTGTGGAATGGAAGGCATCAGTTTTCAGAACACCTCCCCCCCACTTCGGGTGAGCTTTTTGCCATGTAAGTTGTCAGTGCTGGGCATATTGCTGGAGCACTAACACAATACAGTGATATAGTAGTTTTTGATGCAAAAAATCCACCCTGTGGCAGGGGGGTGTCACGGTGGGCAAGAGGGTAACGCACGGATTAAATCTCCGTGGGGAAGCAGCACGGGCACTGTGAGTATCTTTGCATTCGTAGTGGTTGTCAGAAGAGAATGGGGCACCATCCCCACGAGGAAGCTACCTGTGTCCAGCATTTGGGAAATGTTGTTATTAAAGATCCCGTTACGGACATCTGGCAGTTATATCCCGTTTGACCCTTAGTGACAGTTTTGCTTCTCTTATGCTTTAAAGTAAACTTCTATAAAGAATTCAGTCTCCATTTTGGGTCTCCCCCCGCCCCCCCATCCAGGATCAGTTCTGCAGCCGTCGGGAGATTCTGAAGAAGGAGAGAAAGAGAATCCTGGCATATAAAAGAGTCGTGGAGAAGGAAAGCCACGAGCTGCTCGTAAGTGTCCCTGTGGCTGGGGAATGAACAGATTCTAGAACACATACTGGAGAAAACAGTGGAGTCCAGCTACAGAAAAGTCAACCCAGTTGGGCTCCCCCCTCCTTCCCACTTGGAAGTTCGGTGCACAGATGGTCCCCCAGGGGGGTGGGCAGCTCCTGGTTAGTTTATCCAGATCTAAAACATTTTTGTTGTTGTTGTTCTCTGCTGTTTTTGTCTGGGGCAGAATCAGTTGACTTCCCAAGGCGTTCTCTGCTGTGGGTTGATGAACTTGTGTGTCCAGGTGCCCCTTGTGTGCATGCACCAACACTGCAAGCCAGGAGAAGTCTCTGAAAAGAGATAAGCCCCCCTGCCCCCCAAATACTTGCTAAAAATGCTGGTAGAGCTCCCTCCGATCCTGAATTGAGCCACAGGGCATTCAGTAATTCTAAGGGGGAAAGTGCTTGGGATGCTCAGTAGCATGTAGATTTTCCCCCTCCACACTTTTTCTTGCCCAAAATGCAGTCAGGGAAGCTGCAGTTTCGATCTGGAGGCCAGGCGAGGGGAAGGGGCTTCTGAGCTCTTTGGCCCTCAGTGGTGTTTCTACTAAGACATCATATCTCGTCCTCTGATCTGAACTGGGGGAGTCAACATATGGAGGGTGTTTTAGTGTGGGGACAAGCGGACTCAAGGAGCCTCTTCTACTCTCTGGGTCTTCTGCTGCAGACTTAATCCTCTGGTCCTGGTGAATCT